TAATATATTATATAGAGAGATAGATAGTGTTATTATATAGTGTGTGTAATATATTATATAGAGAGATAGATAGTGTTATTATTATATACTGTGTGTAATATATTATATAGAGAGATAGATAGTGTTATTATATAGTGTGTGTAATATATTATATATAGAGATAGATAGTGTTATTATTATATACTGTGTGTAATATATTATATAGAGAGATAGATAGTGTTATTATTATATACTGTGTGTAATATATTATATATAGAGATAGATAGTGTTATTATTATATACTGTGTGTAATATATTATATAGAGAGATAGATAGTGTTATTATTATATACTGTGTGTAATATATTATATATAGAGATAGATAGTGTTATTATTATTATATACTGTGTGTAATATATTATATATAGAGATAGATAGTGTTATTATATAGTGTGTGTAATATATTATATAGAGAGATAGATAGTGTTATTATTATATACTGTGTGTAATATATTATAGAGATAGATAGTGTTATTATTATTATATACTGTGTGTAATATATTATATAGAGAGATAGTGTTATTATTATATACTGTGTGTTATATATTATATATAGAGATAGATAGTGTTATTATTATATACTGTGTGTTATATATTATATATAGAGATAGATAGTGTTATTATATAGTGTGTGTAATATATTATATAGAGAGATAGATAGTGTTATTATATAGTGTGTGTAATATATTATATATAGAGATAGATAGTGTTATTATTATTATATACTGTGTGTTATATATTATATATAGAGATAGATAGTGTTATTATATAGTGTGTGTAATATATTATATAGAGAGATAGATAGTGTTATTATATAGTGTGTGTAATATATTATATATAGAGATAGATAGTGTTATTATTATTATTATATACTGTGTGTTATATATTATATATAGAGATAGATAGTGTTATTATATAGTGTGTGTAATATATTATATAGAGAGATAGATAGTGTTATTATTATATACTGTGTGTAATATATTATATAGAGAGATAGATAGTGTTATTATTATTATATACTGTGTGTTATATATTATATATAGAGATAGATAGTGTTATTATTATATACTGTGTGTAATATATTATATATAGAGATAGATAGTGTTATTATTATATACTGTGTGTTATATATTATATATAGAGATAGATAGTGTTATTATTATTATATACTGTGTGTTATATATTATATATAGAGATAGATAGTGTTATTATATAGTGTGTGTAATATATTATATAGAGAGATAGATAGTGTTATTATATAGTGTGTGTAATATATTATATATAGAGATAGATAGTGTTATTATTATTATTATTATATACTGTGTGTTATATATTATATATAGAGATAGATAGTGTTATTATATAGTGTGTGTAATATATTATATAGAGAGATAGATAGTGTTATTATTATATACTGTGTGTAATATATTATATAGAGAGATAGATAGTGTTATTATTATATACTGTGTGTAATATATTATATAGAGAGATAGATAGTGTTATTATATAGTGTGTGTAATATATTATATAGAGAGATAGATAGTGTTATTATATAGTGTGTGTAATATATTATATAGAGAGATAGATAGTGTTATTATATACTGTGTGTAATATATTATATAGAGAGATAGATAGTGTTATTATTATATACTGTGTGTAATATATTATATAGAGAGATAGATAGTGTTATTATATACTGTGTGTAATATATTATATATAGAGATAGATAGTGTTATTATTATTGTTATATACTGTGTGTAATATATTATATAGAGAGATAGATAGTGTTATTATATACTGTGTGTAATATATTATATAGAGAGATAGATAGTGTTATTATTATTATATACTGTGTGTAATATATTATAGAGATAGATAGTGTTATTATTATTATATACTGTGTGTAATATATTATATAGAGAGATAGATAGTGTTATTATTATATACTGTGTGTTATATATTATATATAGAGATAGATAGTGTTATTATTATATACTGTGTGTTATATATTATATATAGAGATAGATAGTGTTATTATATAGTGTGTGTAATATATTATATAGAGAGATAGATAGTGTTATTATTATATACTGTGTGTAATATATTATATAGAGAGATAGATAGTGTTATTATATAGTGTGTGTAATATATTATATAGAGAGATAGATAGTGTTATTATTATATACTGTGTGTAATATATTATATAGAGAGATAGATAGTGTTATTATATAGTGTGTGTAATATATTATATAGAGAGATAGATAGTGTTATTATTATATACTGTGTGTAATATATTATATAGAGAGATAGATAGTGTTATTATATAGTGTGTGTAATATATTATATATAGAGATAGATAGTGTTATTATATAGTGTAGTACATTATACATTGTATACATACATTATTATTATATACTGTGTAATATATTATATATAGAGTAGATAGTAAGCATATTATTATATACTGTGTGTATTATATTATATATAGAGATAGATATGTTATTATTATTATATACTGTGTGTATATATTGGTATATAGAGATAGATAGTGTTATTATACAGTGTGTGTAATATATTATATAGAGAGATAGATAGTATATTATTATATACTGTGTGTTATATATTATATATAGAGATAGATAGTGTTATTATATACTGTGTGTTATATATTATATATAGAGATAGATAGTGTTATTATATACTGTGTGTTATATATTATATATAGAGATAGATAGTGTTATTATATACTGTGTGTTATATATTATATATAGAGATAGATAGTGTTATTATATACTGTGTGTAATATATTATATATAGAGATAGATAGTGTTATTATATACTGTGTGTAATATATTATATATAGAGATAGATAGTGTTATTATTATATACTGTGTGTAATATATTATATAGAGAGATAGATAGTGTTATTATATAGTGTGTGTAATATATTATATAGAGAGATAGATAGTGTTATTATTATATACTGTGTGTTATATATATTATATATAGAGATAGCTAGTGTTATTATTATATACTGTGTGTTATTATATTATATATAGAGATAGATAGTGTTATTATATAGTGTGTGTAATATATTATATAGAGAAATAGATAGTGTTATTATTATATACTGTGTGTTATTATATTATATATAGAGATAGATAGTGTTATTATATAGTGTGTGTAATATATTACATAGATAGTGTTATTATTATATACTGTGTGTTATATATTATATATAGAGATAGATAGTGTTATTATTATTATATAGTGTGTGTTATATATTATATATAGAGATAGATAGTGTTATTATTAT